CGTTGCAAGCGTGTAGGCAGGGGAGCTGCGCCCCCCCGCAGGTGGAGAGGCTTCGCCCCTCCCCCCTGCTTCCCCCTCGAGGAGAAATAGAAAACGACTTCCGATTACATGTCGCTTCATCTCGATAGTATGTACGTGATTTTTAGCGACACTTAATCAGAAGTCGTTTTCTATTTCTCCTCGAGGGAGAAACAGGGGGGAAGGGCGAAGCCCCTCCACCTGCGGGGGGGCGCAGCCCCCCTTGCCTACATGCTTACAACACACGAAAAATGTACACGGTGTCGAAAAACGATAGTTTATTCATGAAACTTTTTTTGTTCATAAGTTTTTTATAAACAATGAGCGACGGCTAAAACTTTTAGAAACGTACTCAGGAAGGTCATATTTACAATATATCAAAACGCGAAGCCGATCGGAGGGAGCTCCCCTATTCTGTACATTTACCTAAATATTTTTTCCTACGAACCCGATAAAACTCGTTTTTCGAAGCTTCACCGCGTATCTCACGTTTTGGAAGAAAAAGACTTTCTCACGGTCTAAATATCTTTCTAAGGCTGCAGAGCGCCCTTGTCAGAGCCGCGCCGTTTAAATCACTTTCCGCGTGTAAATATTTTCCCGAAACCTGAAGGAATATTTCACGAACGTGACCATATCACGCATCGCCGATTGAACCGCGGTTAACGAAACTCATTTTAATTTCTATCGCTTTTGTTTATTTTGTTGTAAATATGTTTCTTCTTCTTTTTTTTAAGTATTGATGTGTAGAGTTGTCCTCTGGTTCGTTTTAAAAATTAATTGTTGGTGTAACTTGAGGCTGAGCGAACCGGTTGCAAGGTGTTATGCAAATAAATTCCAATTTTGTAATTTCTTTCTAAACGTGTCGACTTTATTTGTTTAAGTCATCATCAGTGGTCTGTGGTACATTAAAAATTAATAATGTAATGAAGTTAATAGATTAATTGATGTTTATTATTTACTTACAATATTGCAACATTTCTCAAACTAACAACAAAGAGATTGAGTGACACTTATCGATGTCGGTATAAACGTGTCCTCTTTGTTACTAGTTTACGTGAGACTATGAAGGCACTATTTTTGAAATTGACGAAGTACGGGCAAATACGCATTGTCAAGCAGTGCTGTATCTTGCATGACATTGATAGAGTGGTTGTTAAGCTTGATGTTCAACATTTCTGAAGTTAATCTTTTATAATAATTTGTTTCTATGTCCAAGATCTTTGTTGCATCAAAGTCAAAGGAGTGACCACACTCCGAACAATGCTCAAATAATATTGAATTTTTTTGTTTTGTTTTAATTGTATACTTGTGTTCCTTAATTCGAGTTTCCAATTGTCGTTTAGTTTGACCTGTGTAACGGAGCCGATTTTCTATCGGCTTCGCCCGGCCTTCCGCCTGCCGGACAGCTCGATCGGCGCCAAGGATCGGGGAGGGGAAGGCGTAAAATTGCGACACTCGGTTATTTTAATGCTGTAATGTAGTGGAGATTTATTCACTCAATCATGATATGTACAGTAGATATAACTAGCACGGTATTTACAACGGATAGTAGACAAATTGGCTTTATCGGCGCGGTGGTTCCGGTACGGAATGGTTCGCGGGGATTTGAATCGCGTTAGTATTTAAATCGACGCGGCGGAAAAGCAAAGGGCGGTACGGCGGACTTACAACTAACTTAGATCTACGGGGTATATTTACACGGGGGATGTACTGCGGATGTTCCGGGACGTGAAAACGGCCGGTTAAGTCGTGAAAACGACTGTTTCCTGGGTGGCGGTTACAACGGCCGTTTGAGTCGTGAGAACGACTGTTTATTGATGTGGCAGTGACAACGGCCGATTGAATCTCCGGGCTCGTAGAGCCGACGAAGACGGTGTGCACCGAAGTGCCGGAGAAGATCGAGACAACGCCTCGATCCGTACGGTCAGGATGGTGTTCGAGACAGCGCCTCTAGCACCGGGTTCTGCCGAGACAACGCCTCGGCTAAACGGCCAGGAAGTGGTGTTCGAGACAGCGCCCCTAGCATCGGGTCTTGTCGAGACAACGCCTCGACCGGAAGGTCAGGATGGTGTCCGAGACAACGCCTCTCGCACCAGGTTCTTGTCGAGACAACGCCTCGACCGGAAGGTCAGGATGGTGTCCGAGACAACGGCTCTTGTACCAGGTTCTGCCGAGACAACGGTAGGCCAGCAGTGTTCACAGTTTTAGCTTCCTTACAGCATGCTAAAGCGGTGGAAGGGATGCGCACAACAGCAGCGAGTTTATGCAGGTAGAATTTGCTGCTGTTGTGCGCATCCTTTCCACCGCTTCAGCATGCTGTAAGGAAGCCAAAACTGTAAACACTGACAGCCAAGAAATGGTGTTCGAGACAACGCCTCTAGCACCGGGTTTTGTCGAAACAACGCCTCGACCGGAGGATTGGATGATGGTGTTTCGAGACAACGCCTCTAGCACCGGAGGATCTCTCTAGCCCAAGACACCGCCTTGAGCTCGAGAGAAGGAACTGGTCCCGACTGCCAAAATCACTCGGCTTTTATACCCCGGAGCGGCCTATGGTCCGTTCGGGGTCGGTGTGCGGTATGCGGTTGTTTGCGCGTTATATCACGCATCTGTGCCGTGTTGCACGGGCACAGGTCTTCACCGGTCCACGTGCGTTCTTCTCTGCTATATTTCCGCGGCTCGCAATATAGATCGGTATACGAAACTATCGCTAGACGCGTGGAACGGTCGGAGCTATATTATTTACTATATTACGGCGCGAGGACGGGAACATAATGAACGCATACTGATAAATGTAGTTAATGAATATAATATAAGATATATAAGAATCAAAAGATACAAAAAATGCGCAATTAATATAAAGAGTAGTAATAGTAATAATAATAAGAACAATAATAATAAGAGAAAAAGAAATAATACGAGTAGAGAGAGAGAGAGAGAGAGAGAGAGAGAGAGAGAGAGAGAGAGAGAGAACTAATAATAATACAGTATATACATATATACAGGTAACGGAGCTAGCTCCGTCACACTTGTATAATTAGCTAGCGGATCTTTATGTGTTTTGAGAAATTGACTAAGATTGTTTAAATCTCTAAATGCCGGTTTAATATGTAAGTTATTTGTATTGATGTTAGACATTTTAAAATTGTGATTATTTGACGAAAAAGGTAATAAAGTAAGATGTATAAGGATCATGAGCATCGTCGGAAACTGGAAACCCACTCCGACTGTTACGCTTGGAAGTAAATAGCAGTTTGAGCCTTCTAATAATCATTTTAAAAATAAAATGTATTGGATAATTATTGGTAATCAGAACTCGAACGCAAAGTTCTAAATTCTTTTGATGGAAGATCGGATCTGATAATACTGCTCTGTCCACCAATGTAAATATAGTACCGATTTTGTGACCGATAGGACAAAAAGATAGCAAATTGAGATATCTACTTGAATATGTTGGTTTTGGTACCAATCACAAGTTACAACATTATTCAGTGTGTTAATGCGTAAATCTAGAAAACTCAAACCTTCATCAGACTGAACTTCGTAAGTAAATTGTAATCTTGGATGGAATGCATTAAAAATGTTAACAACACTGTTCAGGTGATCATTTGGTAAAGCAATTATGATGTCATCAACATATCTATAGTAGAAAGGTATTTGAAATTTGATTGTAGATAGTGCTTGTAACTCTATGTCTTGTAAAGGTAAGTCTGCTAAAATAGGAGATAATGGTGAACCCATCGGTGTGCCAAAAATTTGTTGATAAATGTTATTGTTGAAATTAAAATATGTCGACGTCATCACAAATTCAAGTGCTGTTAAAAATTCTTGCATGCTTATCTTGGTGTGCAGTCTGATATATCTCCACCTTTTTGCTATACTACGCAAACAAAGGTCTAATGGTACATTGGTGAATAAAGATGTTACATTCAATGAGCACAAAGTGATGTCATTGTCCACCTTAAGGCCATTTAATGTATTATAAAGGTAGAAACTATTCTCAACAAAAAACGGAGAATTAGATACACTTTTTTGTAAAATTTGGTGTAAGTATGACGCTATGTTGTGCAGAGGACTATCGACAGTAGAAACAATAATACGATATGGACAATTCTGTTTGTGGATTTTGGGTACACCATATGCTCTAGGTAGAAGAGCCTCATTAGATTTAATAAAATTTTTAGTGTCATTATTAATAAAACCTAGTGTAACCCATCTGTCTAACATGTTGCGTAAAGAATTTTCAATAGAACGAGTAGGATCTTTAGTTATTGGCAAGTATGTGTCTTTATCATTTAATAACTGGAGCATATTGTTTAAATAGTCATGGAAACCGCTACAGTGGAGTTTCCTTTGTCTGCTCGGGTAAATAAGATGTCAGGATTGTTACGGATAAAATTCTTAACCGCTAAGGATTTGTTAAGAAGATTGCGTTCTATGTAATTAAAAGTATGAATGTTATTGATATAATGGTTAAGATATGTTGTGATGTGGTGCCAAATGTTAGCCTTGTTGGATTTTTCGAATTTCTTTATGTTATTTTCAGTGTCTTTAACCGTCTCTAACACAAACGCTTTTTTATTTTCTACCGGTAATGCAAACCTATCACCAAATTGTAATAATTCAGAAACACATTCTGGAATTATTTATTAGAATGATTGATAAACCATTTGTTGTTGAGACTAGTATCATTAAATGATTTGGTTTGGAAAATTGTGGAAGAAACTTCTATCTTAATTTGTTGAGTGTTGTTAAAATTCGTGAAACTAAATTCATGATTTGGTTGGTAGTTAAATTTATTGTTAGGGATGATAATTGTTTTTTGTTTAAATAAATTCTAGCATTTTTCTTATTCAAAATTACCGAGTTTACTCTATTTTTACCTTACCCTGATCCCGACGAGCTATTCCGCAGCAAATAAATAAATTAAATTAAATTAAATACAACGGGATAATTCTCCACGCGAAAAGTAGAACCGTTACAAGGTATTCCGTCATCTGCCTCTCGACAATGCTCTCAAGTGCTTTGGAGATAGCACACAAAATAGAAATTGGTCGAAAATGTTTCAACTCGGTAGGGCATTTGACCTTGGGAATAGGACAGATGATAGCGGATTTCCACACCGAAGGAAAATAACCTTGACTCAGACTGTAGTAAAAAATATGCGTTATAACTGGAAGAACGCAAGGCAGAGCAGAAGTAACAAGTCTCAAGGATAAACCATCCTTGCCTATAGCATCAGATCTACTCCTGCCAAGCGCATCGATCACATCAAGCACATCAACATTGCTCCAGTACAGCTTATTATCGTCAAACACAGGTTTACCAAGATAAACTGGACCAGCGACATCCACGTCAGGAAAGGTAGATTCACGTGCAGAGAAAAATCTATTAAGTTCGTTTACAGTACAAGGAAGTATCCGCTCATAAGATTTAGCTTTAACTAGACTAAGCTTTCTAAGTTCCTTCCAGATTGAATTAGGAGTCCTGAGCTTCGAAAAGGTAGAAAGATAGTACTTCTCCTTGGCCTGGCGGACAGTAATCTGCACTTGATTCCTTAATAACTTGTAAACTGCATAGTTTTCTTCGCTTTTGTGTCTCTTCCATCTTCTTCGCGCCTTGTTTCGTTCAATCATTTGTGCCTTGATGTTAGTAGTCAGCCAGGGTGCTGGCATGCGTTTTGGACGAATGGTTTCTAACGGTGCATTCTTATCAAAGCTTGTCAGAATATATTTGTTGAGAAGATCTACCTTTATGTCAATATCATTGTCATTTAGTAAGAGGTTCCAGTCACAGTTCATAAGATCACGCAAAAACTTGTCAATGTCAAAGGAACTCATGTCTCTTATAGTAATTGTTCTCTTCGGTATGCGCTCAACAACAATGTTGTATTCAAGGTCAATAAGTTCATGCAAAGAAAAAAAGCACACATCATTCTGACTAAATGATACCAACTTGTCAACGTCGTCGATCAAGCATAAGTCAAGAAAGGTGGTGGAAGTACGAGTGTGATGCGTAGGATTGTACGGTACAAGATACAAGTTGTACGCACTCAAATAAGAGCGAATCTGTTCGGAGTCAAAGGTGTTCGAGCACATGTCGGCGTTGAAGTCACCGAGAATCAAGCAGTGTTTATAATGGATCATTAAATCAGAAAAGGCATTAAAGAAGTCAAAAAGATGTCCGCTGTGTGGAGGTCTATATACAACAGCTAGTAAGACCTTGGAGTGAGTCGCAATAGATATTTCAGCTATCAAGTATTCGGGCTTTTTAGAGTAGACTTCGTCAGATTCCTTCAAGATTCTTGCTCGACAGGAGGAAGAGAGATAAAAGGCAACACCTCCACCCCTCTTATTATTTCTATCACGTCTGAAAAGATGATATCCAGGAAGAGAAACAAGTTGGTCAGAGATAGCAGGTTTCAGCCATGTCTCAGATAGACATATAATATCATAATCAGAATCAATAAAATAATGTTTGAATCCGTCCAAGTGTACCAAAAGAGACTGGCAGTTAACATGGCAGGTCTTCAGAGACTTAAATGTTTTATTCATAATTAGTATTCTGACTTGTACTTATTAATGTTGTTCCTAGTCAATATTTTTTATCCTGTCTTGTAGTCTCTTCATTAATATAGGACAATTTTTGCCGTCAAGTGCAGAGTGTGTGGATTCACTATGCAGCAATCTTTTACAATTTCCGCAGGTGGCTGACTTATTTCTCGCGGAACAATTCTTTATCTCGTGATCGCCAGCACAATGACTACACAGAGAAGGGCTCTTGCAATTCTTAGCGAGATGTCCAAAAGCGAGGCAGTTGTAACACTGAAGCACCCGCACGTAATCCTCAAAAGCACACGAAGAGAAATTAATATAGATATGATGCCCCTGCCGCAACAGAGCACGTATATTCGAAGGTACTTCAATAATACAGCTGGTTGTAACACGATTGGCCCTAGGAGGAAAGATATAAATAACTTTGATGTCAGAAGAGTCATGTGCATGTAGGTTTAAGTCAACAATGTCGGATCTGATATCCTCTTTAGTGAGACCAACGGGTATTCCGTGAACAATGAGTCTAGAATTAGACTTAAAGATCCGTTCAACTTTGAGTCCAGTATTGGCAAGTTCAGTAGAATCCTTCAACTTTGGCAGATCGACCGCCGCAGCCTCTATATGGACACCATTGTTTCGCGCAAAAGTAATTTTGTTGACTTTCAAATTAAAGTTCGCCGGCTTGATGATCTTTTGAGAGCTTCTTTTGTCTCGTTAGAAGTAGCATATTTATGTCCAAGATTCTTGTTCGGGACAATAAGAATATTGGGGGATTTTGTGACAGCAACGGTAGGACCACGGGAGACACAAACGGTAGAATTAGATTTTACTGCAGAGGCATAAGAGAAAGCAGGAGCTGACCCCTCCTCGGCCATGAGACCAGCCGATCGGTGCAATAAAGTATCCGCATGCACCTTAGAAATAGCGTCGGTGATCATTTTCTTGACAGATTCTACCGTGACAGTAGGAGCATTATTATCTTTTTCTAACAATGCCAGATAAGCCGCAGAGAATTCAGAAAAAGCCTCACGACAGGCTCTAAAGGCAGACTCAATATGCGTCTTCCTTTCAAAAGAATCTTTGCTTGAAAGAAGTAATTTAGAAACGGTATCAGAATGCTCAGCAATAGATCGCTTAAATGCATAAACTTTAGATGCGCTCATGTAAATACCGCAAGGATTGTTGGTCAACAAAAATGCAGAAGACCGTTGCCTAGTGAGACCGCCGCATTGTTTACCGTTAAGATAAATATAAGAATGAAAAATATAAGAATGAAAGAGAGAGATTACACATAGCATAATACTATTAGACAACATTGTTCTTATTTTTTTCCAGAAATTGTGCAAACTGTCCAGTCCCAACCACTTGACCACCATCTCGTTGCCTCGGCGACGTACAATCTATTCTACTAGATAAACATTCGGATGTTTGACCGCGTGCAACTCGTGTTCGTAGAATTCACCGGCTATAAGTTCACTGCAATAATCCTCGAGCAGATAAGTCGCTGGTGAAGTTTGTTGCACCTTTTTAACGCAAAACACCTCAGTGGTCCAGTTTGGAATGTGACCCTTTGCAAAGACGGTTTTATACTTGCTCACGCGCACAAGATCGCCGACTTTGAATCGCGCCGGTCCGGCGATCTTGACGTTGCTGTACACCGTGCACAAAAGTCGCTTGCTTGAATCTGGCGTTACGTCGATCTGTCGCGCGCCAATGGTGCGATGCTTGCATGCGTTGTACTCCGTTACAAGTCGCTGCAGATCGTCGATCCAGCGATACGATCTGTTTAGCGGAAACATCTTCCACATGTTGTTCTTGAGCGTACGATTAAAACGTTCAACCACCGACGCTTTCATAACAGAGTATGTGGAATATTAATTGATGCCGTGACGATGTATCAAATTTTCTACATCCGCGTTGTAGAACTCCTTGCCGCGATCAGTTTGCAGATTCATCGGACAACGACCGTCGGCGCGAAAGATCTTCGCGAACGCCCCAGCGACTTCTTTGCCGCTCTTGCTTTTAAGCGGTACCGCCCACGCGTACTTGCTCAACATATCGATGACTGTGAGAATGTAGTTGTGACCTTTGTTCTGACAAAGGACGCATCTCGACCAATTCGGCCTACCACAGATCGTCCTAACCGGGCACACCGACTTGTCTGCGCGGAAAGTTGCGTCTCGCGGGCGCGTGCAGCTCCTCTGCGAACTCTCTCTTTTCGACGCTCATGTCGATTGCGGCTGCTTGTCTTGTCTCGCTGATTTTCGCACAGTCTTGCGCAGGTTACTCATGTCAGTGTTGAGCTTGTTGATAGAGTTCCACATATTGTGAAGCGATTCGTGCCTTGCAAACGAGCGATTTGCAAATGAATAAAGATCTTAAACGTGAAAAGCGCTGTGCAACGCGCTTACATTCGTTTGCCGAAACTCAATCATTTGTTTTAATTCAGTGCGCGAATCCTCTAGCTGCACTAATCGATCGTACACGTTTCTTCGCAGAGTCTCAATTGCCTCTCCCACTTCTTTGTAAAATTGAATCAGGTCTTTCTTCAAGTATTCGATTTTGGGCGGATCCGCACCCCGCAGTCTTGTCTCCAGCTGCAACACTCGGTCGTACGCGTTTGTTCGCAGATGCTTCACGGCCTCGCTCAGTTCTTTGCTTGACTGCTTCTCATATTTTTTAAGATCGTCGACCTCGCGTTGATCGACGAAATGTCTTGCGCTGTTCTCCAAGCTCGACAACCGCTCTTCTGTCGCCTCAGCGCGCGACAACACAGTCGCGGAGTTATCTCGCAGATTATACACAGTTTCCTTAACTTTTGCTATAGAGTTTGTCGTAATGGTTGAGAGCGCGTCCACGTTTGCGTCTAGGATAACTGCGGCGTCGAACGCTCGCAAGAGAGCGTTGTCTACGTAGATCTTGGTCGCAGCGTCGGAATTGTTTCTTGGTTTCGACAAACAAATTATCGCACGCTTCTTCGCTTTTTATTTGGTCGACGATGACGCAAACAAACAGAGAGCGTTGTTGTGCACGTAATTACGCAGATTAATTATTCGAAAACGTTCTTCACCATTGTAAGCGTAACAGCGATATTGCAACGGCAAACCGACCTTATTGACGCTCATCGCGCGCAAACGGAACTATCGACGTTCCTGAGCAACGTTCAATTTATAATCATTCCCGCCTCGCGAAGCTCCTCAATAATATATACAAACTCGTTGTCATGCGAGTCGTTTTCCGCGCGATAAGACGCCTCCCATAATTTAAGACGATCCACAAGTTCGTTGAGATCGTCCAAGTGTACGTAATCTATAGCGTTGTTGGTCATTTTTATGGCAATCGGTCGCAATTCTTCATTCGTCGTATCGCGAACGGTAAACAACAACGGTGCGATAATATTTTTGTACTTGTAGCATCTGTTACTCTCTAGGAAAGATGGCGCTGTGGGACGATGATTCCGTCTGTGAGCGTTAGTTGTCAGCAACAAATCGCGATACACGCATTTATCGCCCTCAATATACGCAACGCTGTTGGGCTCCTTCATGAATACTAATTTGTACAGACCCGGTGTGCCCGCGTATTAAACTTCGTCCATGATAATAGAGACGTCGGCACCGACGTCAAAGCGCTTGCTGCCGAGCATCGTACTCTCTTCGCCACACTACACTCTGAAAGTTGAGTCGACGGTCTTTGATCTGTCGGCGCTCAGCAGAGCGCCGATGTATCTGCGACTCAACGGTTTCAAACGCTGTAGCAGTTTCTCGTTCGCCGTCGCTCGTTTGCACAAATTCGTCGACCGAGCGTCCGAGCAACGTGAGCGACGCAAGCGGCTCGGGCGTTGAGATCGCATTGCTGTTGTTATTATCACCCATGTAAGAGGGTAATATTGACAACGGTGCGTTTGATCGACGTCTCTTTGGTTTTAACGGCGGTGGTCTCATTGCCGTCACCGCGCCATCTTTGAGCTTCCTCTTCACTCGCTCTGTAAATACGTTCCGTTAGTTTTGCACTTTTGACCAGTTTTTACCGGTTCAACAATCGGTTTAACGTGCTGTTCGAGAGCGAGCTCGTCCTTGATGCGTCTCGTTTTCAACGATCAATGTTTCTTGCGTATCGATTCGCGCGTTCGAGCAATATCTTTCGCCAAACGCTCGCGTTTGTCGATAGCTGGGGTCAACGGTGATGCGCGCAAGGTTTTGTTGCACGACATACCGTTCGCAACTGCCGCTGTCTTTGGCACACGGCGAACTCGTTGAACCCGCGTCTGTACTTGCCGTTGCGAAACGAGCTATCCTTGTCTATTACAATGAAACCGTACTTTCGCCGCCAGCACGCGCGACATAGTTCCGAAAAGTCATTGTATGACATGTCGGTGTCGACGTAATTGTTGTAAACGTGTCAAAGATTCGTGCCGTCCTGTCGGAACATCAACAGATTCGCGTGGTTGCAAATCAAATGCTTCGGTATCTTGGCGTACGTTTGACAAAGATAGAAGCAATCGACTTTTGAGTAACGACCCATTGCGAAGTACTCCCGTATCGCGTTCTGTTTGTTCCAGACAACGTTGTCAAACACAAACACGGGATTAGGCA